ATTGCACTTTTTTATGGAGAGTGAATTAAATTGATCTGTCAGATTTTCGAAATGGTAACGCTCGGGTAAAGTCGGCAAGAGTCGACTAATTGAAATGTTTTTATATATGCATTAAAAGATCTCAGAAACTAAAAATTGAACCTGCGTACTATAAGCAAGGGAAATGTTCATTATTTCATCCTCTTTGTAATGAACTATTATTCAAAATTGTGCCTTAAAGCGACGCCGGAGAGAGTCGAGAAGGAAGAAATAGTGTCGAGAACCAATTTATAACCAGTTTTATTGAAGATATGGATTAAAATATCTCAGAAAATAAAAATCGAAACTGCATACTGTAAGCGAGGGAACTGTTCAGCATTTCATCCTCTTTGTAATGAGCTATTCTTTATAATTTATATATTAATATTAATCTATTAAGCTATTAATCTCGTCTTATTGATGTTTTCACTTCTATTGTGTGATCTAAAGCACTCATCTTATTTATTTAAGATCATATAGTCGTCTTTTTTTCCTCCACACTTCTCTTATCCTCTGGGAGTGTTGTGTATTATTCCTCTCTTTTCCCTGCCTCTTTCTTTTCTTCCCGCTTCAAGGACCCTGTTTGGTTAACCCGTTTCCCAAATAAGATCCTATTCGAATCCTCGCTGGTTTTCTTTAATTTTCCTGTATCGTCCTTATTCTGTTCTGCACATCCCATCTTATTCTTGAAACCTAGAGAATTAATCAAATAATTTCTTATTCACTCTATGTTTATCTATCCTTATTACATAACGGTATAATTAAAAAAAAACAATTCTTACGGATTTCTGCATGTTATTTTTAATGAATTTTTTTATATATGTATTAAAATATCTCAGAAAATAAAAATCGAACCTGGATATTGTAAGCGAGGGAAATGTTCAGTATTTCATCATCTTTATAATGAGCTATTACTTATAATTTATATTTCATATTATTAATCTCGCTTTTATGTTTTCACTTCCATCGTGTGGTCAAAGCTTAATTTATTTTAGTTTAAGAAAAATTTAAACTCATGTATTTCCATTGTTTTTATATACAATGACATAACGATCATAAGTAATATTGATCACGAAGGCTGTGATTAGTATACAGTTATAAAACATTTTGGAATAAAGGAATAACTCCAAACGAAACTGAATAGAAATGATATAAATTAATTAATGGCGTCTTCATTTTCTCACAATCTTGAAAACATTTCTTATGTGAACTTCTACTGATGAAGAAACTCTTTATATTCTCGGTTAGAATTTATGGAGTATTTCCGCAAGCGTTTGTTATTCTCGGATAATTTCCTTTAATGTCTCCTAAAGAGAGTAATTGCCCATAAAATCCGCTGCGTCGGTTTCTACAGAGGATAGAACCGCAGAAAGAAATAAGTTCGAGATATCTTTTATAAATCTCTCCGATTAGAGTTTTATAACCATGAATATAAAATAAGACATCAAAGAACTATCCTGTTTTATATCAACACACACACAAAGCTTATAATAAAATCTAATATAGGTACTGAATGAAGATACATCAAAATTAGTTCCGCCATTTCTTGTGAAAAATAGTAAAAAAAAAAATAATAATAAAAAAATAATTGAATAGCACAGGGAGGGAAGTCATCCCCTCAAAGAATTAGGAAAATTAAAAAAATGGGATATTTGAGAATTTAATTCAAACTGAGTACAATCAACAAAAAAATGTATAATTGAAGAGAAATAGGCTGGCGTGTTCAGTCAAAAATAAACAAATTAAAAATAAATAATAGTTAATAGTTTCTTATATCGTTATCTGGTCTTTTTTTAAGCCCTCAACTTTGGTCCGAAACGTCTACAATTATAAAAAATATATATCATTTATTTATTTTTAATTAATACCACTATTAAAAAATATATAAGTTTCGAATTATTCGCAAATGAAATTTCTTTTCTTTCATAACTATTTTTCCTGAAATTTCGAGGTTATGTGACTATTTTTTCCACCTAAAGTAGTGATCTTCAAAATGAGGGCTCAATCATTGGTTTTGAAGATTTTACGAAGATATGGCGTACCGATAAAAAAAAAAAAAACCTTTGAGATAGAATATATAAAGGTATAGAATAAATAAATAAGGTATAGTATAAAATAATTTATTTTATACTATACTATTTTAATTTTACTGATCAATCCAACCGTCTTTCTCTTCAATTATTCGCTACAGTCAACCACAAACCCACAATTATGAAAACACATAAAGATTTTTGTAACATACATTATAAAGTACGAGGTTGAGTTTTAGAGGTAAATTTAATATTTGTCGGGTCCCGAGAAAATTCTTCAAGCAGCACTAGTTTTCTCTCTACCATCCTGTTTTTATTTACAAGGAGAGGTTACGGACGTGGGGTCACCGATTTCAATGAAACTTTTTTTAGTGATACTAGGTCGAAAAATATTTTACCTTTTATATCATTATTTTAAATTAATATTTTCTGAATTTTCTTTACAAGAATTTCAAAGTTATTCTATACTATTCGATTTTTTTTTTTGTATAAAATAAAAAAAAATCATATTATAATAAATTACAATAACCCAAAGACTTTGTACATAAAGTAACGTTTTGTCATGAGAAAAACGATTCAGGTTCGTTTTTAGCGGCCACTTAAACTCTTAAATATGAACAAACAATAATATAAAAAACAAATAAAATTTTATAAAATTTCCCGGGTTCGGGGTTGGGTCAAATATTTTTCGACCTAGTATCGCCACAAAAACTTTCATTGAAATCGATAACCCTTGTATACTGAAATTATACTAAATTGATATAACTAAACACATATTTATCGAGACAGTAAATAGTAGGAAAGCCGTTGTCAATGCAGACTAGATATACACCTTATCCAGCCTAATAGGAATCCAGACCATAATCTAATAGGCCTTTGATCTGGCTAGATTAATGTGGCATAGCTTTGCCAACAATCCCGTCAGCTTTGATCTCTCTCTATCTCCCCTATGCTATCATTCCTTTAGGACTTCATCTCTCTGCGCTCCATTAAATTAGGGTAACATTCCAGTAAATAATATTTCCTTATATAGACCCTAGCTGAGGTATCTAGCAAGTCAAAAGGTAGAATATACGTAAGATCAATATTAAGTCGCTTCTAAATTCTAATCCAAAACGGATATAAGATATTTGTCTGAGGTGCACTACTTAATGCAAACAAGAGATAATGAAATGTCAATATGGTATAACCTGAACAAGAAAAACGAATGTTTTTTACTGGTACTTGTGAGACACGAACATTATGAGAAGGAGTTGATCAGGGGGTGCGGTCAAATAAATACTAAATTATAGAAATAGTATTATTTAATTTTTTTTGCCGACGTTTCGACCCACTTTGCAGGTCTTCATCAGGGCTACAAAGCAAGACACAAAAAAAAGTGAAAATAAACTAAATGAATATAAGTAGATATAAAATAAGAAGAAGTAGTCTGATAAAGAAATAAAAAGATGATATCAGAGATATAGTGGGTGACAATGTTGTAAATATCAAGTATTATATATATATAGAAGACACAAACAAAAATGGAAAATAAGTATGAATAAAAATAGAAAACAAAGGAGAATATAGCGTATAAGTTAAAAGTAAAAAGATTAATGAATGATAAGTGTATAACAAACTAATAAATTTTTCACCTACAGTTATCAAATGTAACCTCCACTAGCTTGATATCCACTGATATCTTATTATTATATTATCTTATTATTATTTTAGCTTTACTAGATCAATAATTATTCAATTTTCAATCTCTTTATTCGTTAACATTTATTAACGTACAGTTTTCAAATGTAATCTTTATTAGTTTGTTATACACTCATCATTCCTTATCTCTTATCGCAATCTGTTTCCTTTTAACTTATATGCTATATTCTCTTTGTTTTCTATTTTTATTTATACTTATTTGCCATTTTTATTTGTATTTTCTATATATATATAATACTTGATATTTACTACATTTTCACCCATTATATCTCTGATATCATCTTTTTATTTCATTATCAGACTACTTCTTCTTATTTTATATCTACTTATATTCATTTATTTTATTTTCACCCTGTTTTGTATCTTTTGTAGCCCTGATGAAGACCTGCAAATTGGGTCGAAACGTAGGCAAAAAAAATTAAATAATACTATTTTTTATAATTTAGTATTTATTTGACCGCAGCCCCCGATCAACTCATTCTCATATCATATCATGGTCAACCATCTCTAAATCATTATTTTTTGTAACTTACTATATTTTTTTTCCTGTTTCATTTAATATTTATTCGTTTGATTATTTGCTCCAAACGGGAAAACGTGCGTCATCAAAGACACAACAGGAAACCAACTAGGGAAAGCTGTTGCAGGTGATTGATGTCAATACAACATGACCTCCATTAGTTCTCATCAATCCATCTCCTCCGATCCTCTATCAAAAGTCCAACGCTTTTGAAACCCGTCCTAAAAGGTAGCAATTAATAACATCACAAGGGGCGCTGCTATCGGCTCAAAGGGACACGACCCTTTTGATTCGAAAAAAAGGACTACCTTTTTGGTACGAACCTAAACACTACTGCCATTTACTCTCTCTATAACCTTCTCAGATTGATCATCTTGAAAGCAAATAGCTCTCTGTGTCCTATTTGTCGTACCTCAAACCTCGTGCAATCTCGAATGCTTGGTCATTGAAAATTCGTACTATTATATTGTAGGCTCAATATTATTCTTTTTTCTTCGACAAATTAGATCAGACCTTTGCTTTTTTGTTCAACCTTATTCAACCAATATTTAACCTTTGATATCTGTTTAATACATTAGTATTTTATTAAAAATAATTCTGTTTAATATCAACTTTTTTTGTTTAATTTTTGTTAGTGAATACATACCTAAAATGTTACCATGCAATTACGAAACACTCTGTATATATATACACACACACCAATACATGAACATATATAATGTGATACTCACAGCACTCAGCTTCGTCGGTGCCATCCACACAGTCTACCGTCATGTCACACCTGTAATGAGGCGGTATACAGTATGTCTTGTTCCAGACGTACTGACCGCACGACTGCTGGCCTGGTTCGCAATCTGGAGCCGCTGGAAGCAAAATAATATCATTAGTAATATTAATATTAATAGTTAAATTATAATTTTTAACTTATTACTAGAAAGAACTACTATAAAATTGCAATGCTGCTTAACTGTGTTGAGTTGCTAAGCGACAAAGCATACTTATCAGTCTTATCGATAATGAGAACAACATAAAAAGGACTTATTTTAAGAATTCATTATTCTATATACCCCATGTTATGATTTTCTTGTTATTATCCTCTGGCACGGTTAGTCTGGGAGACCAAAATCATTGTAATTTTTCTAGCACCCCCAAAATAATTGTTTTGTATTATTTTATTTCCGAAAATTATTGTGAACCTTTTGATGGGTGCCCAACATAAATGTTTTGCACCTTTTTGTGTCCATAGAATGATTTGAAGGGGCCCAAAGATGATCATTTTGAATTTATTTAGTACCGTTTTATTATTGGCCCGAAAAATAATTGTTTTGTATTCGTTTATTTCCGTGAAGTTTCGGGACCCCTTTCGATGGATCCCCAACATAAATGTTTTGTATATTTTTATCGCCATAGAATTGTTGGTGATCTCTCTTAGGAACCCGAATATCGTTATTGTGTAATTATCTAGTTGTATGTTTGGTCCCAAAAATAATTGTTTTGTATTCGTTTATTTCCGTGAAGTTTTGGAACCCCTTTCGATGGATCCTCAACATAAATGTTTTGTATATTTTTATCGCCGTAGAATTGTTGGTGCCCCCTCTTAGGAACCCGAATATCGTTATTGTGTAATTATCTAGTTGTATGTTTGGTCCCAAAAATAATTGTTTTGTATTCGTTTATTTCCGTGAAGTTTTGGAACCCCTTTCGATGGATCCTCAACATAAATGTTTTGTATATTTTTATCGCCATAGAATTGTTGGTGCCCCCTCTTAGGAACCCGAATATCGTTATTGTGTAATTATCTAGTTGTATGTTTGGTCCCAAAAATAATTGTTTTGTATTCGTTTATTTCCGTGAAGTTTTGGGACCCCTTTCGATGGATCCCCAACATAAATCTTCTGTATATTTTTATTGCCATAGAATTGTTGGTACTCTCTCTTAGGTACCCCAATACCGTTAATTTGTAATTATCTTATTCTATGTTTGGTCCCAAAAATAATTTTTTTGCATTGGTCCTGTCTGTCTGTGCCAAGATTAACTCGGGAACTAGTCCACCAATTTTGTTGCTTCTTTTTTCATTTTGTAGGGTTTTGACTACTAATGCCTGTGACACAAATTGGAAGCTCCCTGCGCAATATGTGAACAAAATATTTTGCTATAGACTGTAGCGCAAAAACGGCTCTAACGATTTTGATGAAATTATCCTATAATTTTTTAACAATCTGTTGCCCTCATCACACAAGTTTCACTATTTCCTCTAGTTTTAAAAGAAATTATTGTCTGACAAAATCGGCTATGAAAAAAAGTTTTTGATTAGCAATATTTAAGTGTATTGAATTTTTGTTCGCTCATCTTCCACAAGGTTTACATTGTATTAGTCTCAAAACAGTTTTACTCAAATCTTTCAATTGATCAATTTTCAAGAAAATAAATCTAATTAATTTTTTTTTCTTAATGGATATATTTAAAGATATAAAAAGTTTTCTGAAATAGGCAGGAAAATCGTGTGAGTAGACACACCAGATTTATTTGAATGGAAATCAATTCCTTCCTTTCACAATAGATTACATTTACTTATTTCCTTATTGTATTCTCCTTAGTTCACTGACTAATATACTACGCGAATTATCGCACGGGCTTGTTAGATTCAGCAGAATTGATCATCGATTCGTTACAGTAATGTAAATTCATTGTTGAGGTTGTTGTTGGGAATCCATTATCCAAACAAACGCTCTGCTCAGCTTACCTTTGGAAACTCACAATTTAATACCATTAGGGTGGAATTAATCTCTGATTGAAGTGATCTACAACAATGAGAATTTCGAAGGAAGAGTTTCACTACAATCGATATAGATCGATTCGGAGACCTTCACCTCACGGTGGCGAAGATTCATAACCATTATGAGATGAAAAATAGGTTCGATCTATTAATAGCGAACCGATAGGAATAAATACTCGATTTTTCCTTTGATTGTTTATGCGTACTGTGTTTCGTGTCAAGTATAACTGCGTTTTTACTTCTAATCTGGTAGATCTATTAATCTGGTGGATCGGGAGAAAGACAATTTTAGGAATCTATGCAGGATTAAAATATAAAGCAAAAATTAATATTAATATCAATAGCGAAAAGATTTACTTATTATAATCAATAATAGAAAGCTATAATAATGTTAATAACAAGAAAAAGAACCTAGATCCTTACAAAATTTACAATGATATTTGAAATCTAAAAATTGAAAAAAAAAATAATATTTTTCTTCGACATTATTGGACTTATTTTTTTAAATGTTTGATAAAAAATCGGTCATTTATGTGGATGAGACAAAAAAATGTATTTTTTTGCAATAATTATACAGAAGCTCTAAAAAAAATACAAACAAAATTTTATTTAACGACCAATAAAGATGGAAGCGCTGAAATCGGGCAAAATAATAAACTCACTATGCAATAATTTGTAATTAAAAAAAAAAATTATTTTATATTTATTTACACTTATATTAGAAATCCTAATACATTCGTACTTCATGATTGAATATTATCCCAATTTTATTTTAATAAAGAATTGAGATTTGGCTGGTTCTAAATACAGAAGTGTAATAAAAGAACAGACTATGAAAAAAAAATCTCGATTACAGACCTGCTCGATCTATGAAATCATCCATCTACAGTTCCCCTTAATAATATTCACTATAAAATAACACGAAGTAATTTTCTTTTCAAACTCCGAGAAGCTCAGCAGAAAATATAATAGTTTAAACCATCGAATTCCTCTTGTATCCAATCCTTACAATCCAAAATCCTTTGTAAAATCCTGAATGCTCCCTACTTTGTTACAAATAAAACCATCCATAATGACCTTAATGTTTCTTATGTTTCAGATCTGACCTAATCCAAAAACCTATCCTTCCATAATAAATTTCAGAATCATCCCAACCCTTTCGTTTCTAACATTGCCTCCTCTTCGATCCCTGACAATCCTCCGAGGCGTCTGAAAAGAAGATGGCCTCAAGATCTCCTTATGTAAATACATCTTTGGAGTGCTACCAGTGGGTAGTTTCTCAAGAAGTGTTTTCACGTCATTATATTCATATGTTTAAATTTACTAAATGTATTTCTTTAATACATTTGTAAATATTAAGAAATAAAAAAATTATATATTTAATAAATTATTTTTTTTTATTATGTATTAGTATAGTTTATATTCTGTTCATAAGGTCCCCTAATTTATAGTTGACCGCAGAATAAATTGGAATTAATTTTATTTGTGGTTGCGGGCCACATAAAGCCGTGGGTATGATGATAAAAACATCAATATATCGCCTTTCATAATCATTCAAAGCCAATCACATCGAAGTTACCGATACACCAGATTAAAAATATAGATATTTTATATTAATTCATGTAATAGAAATTTATGAATATTTTATAACTGAATTTTAAAAATTGAAACCATTGAGTGATAGCAGAAGAAATATCATTTTCAAAGGTCAAACTCGTGTAATTTGTTTATATTACTTTACTTGATGTTAATTATCATTTTGGATTTTTTTTTTTTAAATAAGCTACTGCGCCTGGAGTAGTATACTATGAAATGAAAATCTTGACGAGCTCGTTGCCGAAAATATCAGGATTTTTGGTGTTTTTTCGCAACTCATGACAGCGAGTATCGTTATTGAAGTGAAAACGTCTTTAGGTGCGTTTTGCACTTTTATTATGGAGAGTGAATTATACTGGTACGTCAGATCTTCGATGTGTAACGCTCAGGTAAATTTTGCTGGAGTCAACTAATTGAATTGTTTTTGTTTATGGACTAAAATATCTCAAAATCGGACTTGAATACTGTAAGCGAAGGAATCATGCTGCATTTCATTCTCTCTGTAATGGGATATTGTTAAAAATTGTATCTTAACGCGACGCCTTGTTAGAGAGACCAGAAGGGAAAAATAGTATTGAAAACCAAATTATAATGAGCTATTATTTATAATTCATATTCCATATTATTAATCTCCTTTTGTTGATGTTTTCACTTCTATCATGCGATCTAAAGCGCTCATCTTATTTTTTTTTATTTTGATTTAAAGTCTTCTTCTGTTCCTCCATACTTCGTTTATTCAAGATGATATTGATAGTATCAATCCATTTGGGCAGTGAGCAACGATTTAAAGTTGAATGTTGAGAAGACCAAAGCTATTTTCTCAGTGGTTCCAAGCATCTAATTAATTCCATACCCAACTATACCTCAATGGACTACCTATCCGTTTCCACACTTCCGTTAGAAACCTTGGGGATTTGATCCGAATCTGTCCTGGAATAATCATATTTCACAAATAATCCGAAAATGCCCTCAAACAGTTCCTAACAGTTTATTGATTTTTTAACTTCTATCATGTGGTCTAATATTACAAACTTTATATTATACCACGAACTTTACTTCAAATCTTCTGAGAACAGATCTAAATCTTGAGCGAAAGGCTAAATAGGGTTATGCTCTAGGCAGAAAAATGTGATTTACCAAAGTGAATGTTATTTTGAGTACACTGAGCATCCACTTAAAATATTTGTTTCGAAGAAAAAATGTAGGTATAAGTTAGCGACAGGCCTAGCTTCATATGCTATTAGTAATCCAATTCACTTAATGCTTGGACCCTTGGAGCAGACGCATTAGCTGGAGTGTTCCATAAGCAAGAAGACCCATCCTTGAGAAGATGAAGGCTCATCAGATTCTGATCCTGAAGGACGACTTAAGGACGAAGAGTTTTTACCAGAATTAGCTCCTGAGAAGCCACAGCTCACTGTCACTCCAGTCCTTGTTTTCTCGCCTTCTCTTTTTGTGTCATTTGTAACGCTGAGTACTCGCCCTTCTTCCCAACTTCTTTTCTTCCAGCCTTCTACGGTTAATTTATTTTGATTTATATTTATCATTAACTCCAGTAAACCATGTTTTTTTCTATCAAGAAATGTCCTCATATAATATCAGGGCATATAGAACAAACTGAATAAATTAAAAAGAAAAACGGAAAAATAACATGGGACATTGGTAAGAATTATTTTTTAAAAACTTTACTGGTATATAATCAGGATAGATAAACGTAGAGTATATAAGAAAATGTTTGATTAATTCTCTAGATTTCAAGAATATGAAGGGATATGCAGAACAGATTAAGGACGAAACAGGAAAATTGAGGAAATCCAGCGAAGATTCGGATAGGATCTTAATCAGGAAACATGTTAACCAAACAGGGTCCTTGAAGCGAGAAGAAAGAAAGGGGCAGGGAAAACAAGTGGTCGGAGGAGAGAAATAATAAACAACACTTCCAGAGAATAATAATAATAAGAAGAAATATAAATTTCATCCCGGAACTAAGTTCCCTTAGAATAACTACAATGTACAATTTAATTACAACTGTTTGGAATTGGTAATAAATTATATTACAAGATTGTCTTTATAAATCTAAGGTTACAATAAAGAAAAGGCACTTTTGTGTTTATTTAGGCTTTAAGACGTAAAACCCTAGGGTCATCAACGCCTGTGAGTCGGTTATATTTGTAAACTCTTTAGAGGAGGATTAATATATAGAGTAATAGATTAAAAATATATTTAAAAACATATGAAAAATGAAATATATCAAAATAAATATTAAAAAAAAACAGAACAATAAAATAAAAAGTATATTTATTTTAATATTTTATTTAATAGCCAATGTATTTTAAGAAATTTTATCGTTGTTGCTTAATACTGCTGATACATCCGGTTTTAGAGATAATCGATTTAGGCTTGAAGTATAATAAGTGCATTCTTGGAAGATATGGTTGACTGTGAGAAGGCTATTGCAGTGCTGACAAATTGGTGGTGGCTGCTTAGTGATGAAATGTACATGGGTTAGGTTCTTGTGTCCTATTCTTAACCTGGTCACGGCGACTTCCTCTCTACGATTAGGGTGGTTTGATGTGGTCCAGATTCACCGATTTTTTAATAACTTATAATTTGCTAAGTGGGCTTTCGCTCCACATATATTGCCAACTATCCAATATTTCATTTTTGAGAGGAAACCTCATTTCTGGAGGGGTCAGGATAGGAGAAGAAAAGGCACTGTTAGGTATATGAAATCATAGATAAATTCAAATATGCGAGTTCACATATTTTTACACATAAAAAATGTAGGTGATATATAATTATCTGTCAGACAACATTAAAGCTATTGACAGATCTGAAAAACGTGACATATTTACACATATTCGAATTGATGAGAGATGGATAATAAATAGTTAATGACGTAAGGAGATATTTGTGTATGGAGGTTGGTAGGGAATTCCAAAACAAGGTAGCACGTATGACAAAGGATTTTTTAAAGGAAACAGTTCTGTGTGAAGGAATAAACAGATTTGAGGATTGGGATCTCGTGTTGAACGAATGGACAGAGAAACAAGGAGTAAACAAATCGAGAATGTAAGAGGGTTTTTTGGTTGAAAAGGTTCGAAAAATGAATACACCTAGGAAGTATTCCCGATGGAAGATTAAATAGAGCCACTTCAACTCGGCATAGCAACTGGAGACGTGGGAGCGCCTGGGGACTCCATAAATGAATCTAATGAAACAATTCATTAGTCTCTTCAATCTGATCTCAAGTCCACCAGACAGTCCACCGTATACAAGGCAGTCATAATCTTAATGAGAGAAAATTGGTGAGGAAACTAGGAGCTGAAATTTAAGGGGTATGGAATCACGGAATCTTAAGAACTGTTTGATGGATTTTCGGAATATTGGGTAATGCGATTAGTCCAGGACAGATTATGATCTAACGTAACCCCAAGGTTTCTAACAGAAGTGTGGAAACGGATAGGTAGTCCATTGATGTGAGAGTAGGGAATAATACAATAAGTTAAAGTAGGAATTAATTAGATGCTTGGAACCAATGAGAATGCCTTTGGTCTTCTCAACATTCAACTTTAAATCGTTGCAAACTGCCAAGTGTTGATACTATCAATATCTTCTTGAATAAGGGAAGTATGGAGGAACAGAAGAAAACGATATTAAGTAAAAAAAAAATATGTGCGCTTTAGATCACACGATAGAAGTGAAAACATCAACAAGAGGAGATTAATAGTATGATACATATAAATTATAAAGAATAGCTCATTACAAAGAGGAAGAAATGCTGAACATTTCCTTCGCTTACAGTATGTAGGTCCAATTTTTAGTTTCTGAGATATTTTAATCCATATATTTAACTAACCTCGTTATCATTTGGTTTTCGACACTATTTTTTTCTTTTCGCCTCAGTCTCTCCGGCGTCGCTTCAAGATACAATTTTGAATAATAGCTCATTACAAAGAGGGTGAAATCATATGAACATTTTCCTTGTTAACAATATAAAGGAGGTCCGATTTTTAGTTTTTGAGATATATTAAACCATATGAAAAAACACTTAGTTGACTCCAGCCGAATTTACCTGAGCGTTACACATCGGAAATCTGACGGATCAATCTAATTCTCTTTCCACAAAAAAAAGTGCAAAACGCGCCTAAAGAAGTTTTCACTTCATACAGTACAATTTAATTAGAACGTGTTTCCAATGACTCTGCAGGATAGAGACAACAAAAAAAGAAAACCAAATAAATATTATCAATATAAAAACATGATATATTAAGTTCGAAATTGAAATATACGTGGCGGTTGTTTTTGTTTCCTAACGGCTGATATTAGGAGTGAAATAGGTTCCATTACTGAAGACAGAAATAGACTTAGGAAAGCGAACTTTCCACTCAATGGCGTTTGATAACGAGTCATTATAGATGTTCTATATCCGAGGGAAGAGAACAAACTTTGAGGGAAATGTTGGGAACGAGATCGTGAGAAAAGAGAACCGGCACAGCTGTTACACAATTCCTTCGTTGGCACGAACCATCTCAATGTTAGAACACCCCAGTACTGTGTGATCTTGAGTCTAATTGCTCTCAATATTTTATTTCATCATAGACAATAATTTAAAAATGTATATATACCTCAGTAGCAATCCAGCAGGCATATGTTTCAGAAGAAGAAGAAAAGTAAATTTTATGCCCAGGTAAGACATTATAAGAGCAATTGAGAAAAATTATAAGTGCAATTCAAGCCTTGAAGACACCTAATATTATTCAATTTCAGTTAAAATAAATATTAGGAAATTTAAGTGTATTTTAAAAGTTAAACCAGATTAATCAAATAATAAATCGTGTTATATAATAAATGGCTACCCAGTGACTTTTGTGAAGTGTAAGTGGAGAATAAGAGGGTTTTAAATGTGGATAAGGTAGGAGCATGTCGGTTTTGATGAGGACGAGAATCCCTGAATATGGTGGAGCGAACAACAAAATAAATGAGACAGAATTGTGAAAAGGAGTTTAAAGTTCAGAGGATTGAGATCATGTGTAAAGAGAATGGATAGAAGATTTGAATTAGAGGAGATTGTAGGAAAAGTACGGGCTCTGGTCGTTGATTATTGATTAAGTAAAAGAATGCACTTACAAAATATTTTAAAATTTAATGTCTGAAAATTCATTAAAAAAAAATCAGTTAAAACTATTTAAATGTTTCCCATGTTCTGACTAAATTATGGATAATAGATATTTGAATATTATAAATACTTACGACAATTCTGAAACTCATCTTCTCCTTTTTCACAGTCTTTCTGATAATTACAAACTAAAAGGCTGGATATGCACTTCCCCTCGGGGCAAGCGAACATCCCTGGACCACATGACGTCGAGGAATCTGAAACAATAGAATAATAATTAGAATATATAATTAACAAATATACATATATTGTATAATAGTGGAGATAATATAAAAATCAATCCAGTCAGTAAAGTATTACAGAAGTATAATTTGATGTTCAATAACATGCAAAGTTATGTGATGATTTATATCAAATGAAAATTCAACAATGAAATTAAAATGTTATTATGTAAACCTGAAACTTTACTTGAATGACCTAAAGAACAAAAGAATGCTCGAAGGAAAAGTGCCCATGACCATAATCTATCAAAGTTTTTGAGAGGGCAAAATTGTACAAGTTTATGAATTTTTAAAGGGTTTCATTTCAAGGAACATTTAAATCAAGGTACAGGATAAAAAATTAAACTACAATTTTTATAATTAGACATTCATTCATACCGTTTTTAAGAAGAGGAAAGGAATACAATAGGGAGTGTATACGTGTGTGTTACATGACAATAATCTGACTAATTTGGTCATACAGAAGTGAGCTTTGGGGTTCCACAGCCACCTTGTATTTATGAGGGCGGGGTGGTCGAGCGGGCTAAGGCTTGTGCAAAGTGCAAAACTCGTGTTGATCGGCAACGGACCAAACGATAACCGAAGTTACAAGATATAGAACGATTCCGATCAATTATGTCATAAGTAAAATTATTTATAATAACGCTAATGCTTTTAAATGTTGCTGAATGGACAAAAACAAACACCTATTGTTCCATTATAATTTCCATTCCATACAAATGATCCCTAAAAACCGTCGGAGGCAGAGGTACCCAGAAAGAGGTTTCATGGAGTTGTGCCATCAAAATTTTTGAGGGAGGCTTATTTTGACGGATTTTTGAATTTTTGAGGGGGAGGGGCAAATTTTTACGGAGTTATGAAATTTCGGACTAAGGGACAAGGGAGAAACATAAAACAGACCGAAGCAAGTTTAATTGTATATGGTCTAAGATTTTACCTTCGCTTCTTCTGTTTTTAAGAAAACGTGAGCAATAAAACATCTTGGGCGGAGGGTAAAGGGGAAAACAGGTAGGTTCTTGCGCCATCGACCTTAGGGGGGGGGAGGGGCACCCCTGGTCGGAGGCAACTGGAAAGAAAACTCATTCACAGTATATTTTTTTTGATAGAATAGATAGAAAAAAAACTTTATTCTGGGACTAAGTCCCTTCAGAATAACAATAATGTACAAAATAATAGAATATTACTGGCCTGAACGTTGAAACAATAAATAAGATTGATAAAATAAAATAAAAAGTAAAGAAACCTTAGGTGCACAAGCTATATACAATACAGATAAAACTATGTACAGAGCATTTAAAATTATGAATAAAACAATTAAAACTATGAACGAATCATTTGAACTATGAACAAAATTATATTTAAGGGTTGAACAACATAAACATACACTTTGAGAAATGAAGAACGAAAAAGAGATACAATGAGTTCATTTCATAAAAAAAAAAAAAAAACTTTACTTGAATATATATATGAAAATAAACAGTTAGTTATAATTGAATAAAAAAAAAAATACAAAAAAATGTATGTATTGAAATTCCTACGTCGATAGTAGGAAATGCATGTACTATCTCTTACCAAGTGTTATGATTATATGATTGCTACACAATACATATATAATATTAATCGTTAGCTGGTATCTGACTGTTTTTGGAACAGGAATTGGAATAGGAGGTTTTTGAATGTGTACAGGGAAGGGGCATGTCGAATTTTGATCGGGAGGGAATTCCAAAAGTTGACAGAGCGGGCTATAAAGGAATTTTGGAATGAGGCAGATCTATGCGAAGGGATGTATAGGTCGGAGGGTCGGGATCTTGTAGTGAGTGAATGGATTGAGGACTTAAATTGGAGAAGGTTGTAGGCATAAGAAGGACGATGATCGGTAATGATTTGATAAAGGAAAGTGCCAAGGAAATGTTGTCTTCTTGAGGAGGGGAAGAGCCACCCTAACTCAGTGTAGTGGTGATATTTTCTTCTTTTATATTTATTTAGTTATTGTATTTTCTTATACGCTTATAAAAAAGTATATAGAATAGACTAGAATAGAAGAATCAACTTTATTCTGGGACAAAGTCCCTTAAAAATAACAATCTTGTTCATAAAAATTAACATACTATCTGGCCAAAACACATATTACAAAAAAAAAAATAAGTAAAAACTAATTAATAACAGAAGTATTTACTATACAGATCTATTAAAGAAATAATATGAGCAATATGATCACAATACTGCAAAATAGTTGCTACAAGCAATAACGATAAATTACTTGTGTTGTCATAACATATATGTACCATATATAACTAAAATTACCCACTTTATAGAGGCTAGATGTGCTTTTATTTATTTTATTAAGAATAGAGAAGTTTTGAAGTCTGATAAGAAAGATAATATTTCATCAGAATTGTTTAATTTATCATTAAAATACGTCATTCAAAGAAAATCCGTATTGCAAAAGATTGAATAGCCATTTTCGCCCACGTTGCTGTTTTCGTATTGTTAGGTGATTTGTAATTTGAATTATGAAGAATTTGTTTGGATCAGGTGTATTCCAATTGATGACGAGCCTCCATTATCGCAAATGACAATAGAACAACAACCGAGTAGATTAACAGAAGGATTGTGCTGAAAGCCACGCGGCCTCTATTTAGGAGCAACTGCCTCATATCTGAAGAGCCCATTGGCTCGGGGATTATCTCCCCATCAGCCAATCCCACTCCAGATTACAAACCGTTCTGCAAAATGACCAATCCAATCCATCGACAAAAAAAAAATGGCAACACTCTCTTCACTATCAACAACAAATGAAGAGTGCTTGAAGATAATAAGCAATCGAAATAAACTGTTCTGAGAGAGAAAACTAAATGGCCGAAAGCGCTTCAAATCGAACTACCTATCGCTATAATGATAAAACAATGCCATTATAAAATAGGAACAAAACCAGAAACAAATTACAATAGAGTAAACATTATAATGACTTAGACCAATACCTTGAGTCGTTCATGTAATAAATATATTATAAATAAACTTAATAATTTTTTTAATTAAAATTCAAAGTTATCAAATGGGATATCTAGTGATAATCATGAACTAAAAATAATAAATAACTTTCTAATATCTCCATTGATTACAGGGTAATATCAAAAGATTTATAATGTATATGTTTTAATTAATATATAATGTATTGAAATCCCATAATGGTTTCATGGAAATTCCATCCATGTGTTCCATCATGATATATCCTAAACATCTTATTTTATGCAGGGGCGTTGTTGTTGATTGCACCTCAAAATAGACATTATTTATTTATTTAAAGCACTTACCTGCCTGTGATGCAATACGAGTGTTTGAAGTAGTGAATAGCTACACGTGCATGCATAACTATCCAATACTGCAATCGATACAATTAGATTTTCTGCCTATGCCATCAGCTTCCTTATCTTGGCTCTTCTATCCTCTGTGGTAGAGTTTCTTCTCTTCTGTAGAAGTAGAAGAGGGGTGAGCCAATTATGTTTTTCCTACTGTACAGAAATGCCTTGTAGTGCGGTTAGTTCTCTTTGGCCACTATCTGAGGGAGATCGCTCTCCGATAGGACGTAAAGACCAGTCTCCCTCAGCAACTTATCCCTCAGTGCCTCATAGACGGTACAGAATAGTAAGATGTGCTCAGCGGTCTCAGGTACCCTACAACTTATAGCAGATTGATGTTCTTACCATGTTGAACAAGCTTTGTGAGACCCAATAGTCCGGGAGGAGCCATGTTGTTTCCATTCTTGAACCGACGGTGGGGAGGTATTTCCTTAGAGTTGATCTTTTTGGCGTTGCCACCCAACGCCGGTTCCATTCTTCTAATGTGCACTTCCGGAGAATCCTCTTCCATCTGGTTAGGTCTTCACTGATCCTCACTCGGAGATTAGTCGGTAGATCCATCATGAGCGATCTCTCTTCATCTCATGCCGAAAGTAGTTTTCACTGAGTTGAAGATCAATTGGAATACTTCCGGCTAAGACCTGTACCGCGTCATGAGACACTGTCTTGTATGCCCTAGTGACTCGCAGCCAGCCTTTTCTTCTGTTGGTGCGAGAGAGTCTGATTCCATGTAGGGGAGGCATATCTTAGGATATCCAAGATAACTCCGTTATAAATTGCCAAAGTTGCTGGGTATCTGGAACCCCAAAAGACGCCCCCCGATGCGACTCAGTCCATTAAGGGTTAAACATTCTTCCAGTCCTTACTCCAAGATAGGGGACATCCTCGCTTGGACGCATTGTTTCTTTCTGTATATTTAGAGTAATAGAGTGAGCTCTTACCCCTCAAAAGAACGGACTGAGTCTTTGAAGCCGCTATCTTCATCTTCTTTATCTTGCACCATCCCCCTACAAGGTTGGAGCACCTTTCAGCCTCATCTCAAAATGCACTAAAATACGAAGGAATTTGAAGAAATTTAGGGTCTAGCAGACATTTGAGACCACACAAATTACAAAAAAATTCACAAACCGGACTCCTCTAAAAATATTAAAACTGGAGATGAAAAATAAAATTGTGTGAGTTTTTATTTATTTATTTCTTATGGAGTTGTCAAATATAAAAGTTATTGATGTGGTGTTGAAGAAGTTTCTAACAGTTATAGTAAAACTGGATTAAAAGAAACACCTGAGGAGTTCTGAATATTTTTTAGTGATTGGCAGGTGAAAAATTCTAATGAGGAGTCCAATGGTTACCATGGCAACCAGCTCAACATAGCACTACTATACTTTAAAAATTATTTATCAAAGGTGTTTTTTTTGAGAATACGCCATTATCTTCGTCAATTCTTCATCAAATCCAATGATTGTACCCTAATTTTGATGATCTTGATAAAAAAAAAATTTAATCTGCGAATAACTAAAAAGTTATTTATGTTGATTTTATCCATGATTATATGCTTATACGATTCGTAAATAAGGTTTAAAACATGAATGATGCTTAATAATACTTTTTTTCCTGGATCG